AACGTTCGTTCGTTATAGTGTTTGTTTTAACGCGAATATTGAAATTAAGTGTATCGGAAAGAATAAACCAGTTTTATTAAGTAAGGATTTGTGTCGCTAAAGTTTCGTCGGAACGAAGTTACGGAAAGTTAATTAACAAACAGAGACGTAACAATATTAAACTCTTCATTTCTGGCCCAGATTTCTGTAAGTACTAATATATGTATTGTTACGTCTCCGTTTGTTAATTAACTTTCCGTAACTTCGTTCTAACGAAACTTTAGCGACACAAGTCCTTATTTAATAAAACTGGTTTATTCTTTACGATACACTTAATTTCAATATTCGCGCTAAAACAAACACTATAACGAACGTGCTCAATAATACTCTCTGACTGCAGATCAATTACTCACTGTCTACACATGCATTATTCCCTCGTCACGTTGTCACCCTCTTTTATATACCAGACTACCCTATATCTAGTAAATGCTAGAGCATTCGCCAAGGTACAGGATAGTTCTAGAAAGCAGAGGGCGTGAGAATAGTCACGTGATCTCGCTGACGCAACAGTATTTTCTGTGGAATTAACTGTAGATAAATAAGAAAAATATCAAAATTCTTAATCAGACTATATATATTCATTTGTATTATATTAATCATAATTCAACTAACAAAGAAATCATTCTTATAAGAATTATCAAATATCGATCCCTGAATAACTATTTAAAATAATATTGAGAATATTCTTTTTTAACACCATCTTATAATTTAGTTAAATCCTGCTCACTTTTAATTCTTATTACTTTTTTATTTTCTGATTGTCTTACTAGAATTTTTCCTTCTTTAATCCAAATATACTTATAACTTTCTTTGTAGTGTTCATTTATATCAATCGTTTTTATCACTTTTTTCACTCCTTTGTGAAACCATTTATTTCTAATTTGTTTATTCCAAAACTGTACAGTAAATGGCCTAGTTTCTTTTTTTTATGTTTCCTGGTGTTACTCTACGGGCTATTTGAATATCTTAATCTTTTACAGTGATATTGACTGCCTTTGCAACTACATGAATAATATCTCTAATATTCTCTCCCTGTACTTCTTGTACCCCTTGAACTTCAATATTGTTACGTCTCTGGTCGTTTGTTAATTTTCTTTATAAATTCTTTCCGAAAAACTGTTGTAATCTCTCTTCTTGTATCTTTTCTGTTTCCTCCTACAACTGCTGTAATCTCTCTCCTTGTTTATTTTGCTGTTCGAGCTGCCACTGTTGCAGGTTTTCTTGCAACTGCTGTTGTCTCTCTTCTTGTTTCTTTTACTGTTCTTGTATTGCTGCCATCAAATTTGCTAAGCTGTAGTTTGATTTGCCACCTCTCGTTTCCATTTTCTTCTTTTTTTTTATTTTTATTTTCCGTCCCACTCTCTGACATCAGTTTGTTACGTCTCTCGTTGTTTGTTAATTTTCCGTAGAAATTCTTTCCGAAAAACTTCAGCGATACAAGTCCTTTCTTAAATAAAACTAGTTTATTCTTTCTCATTACAACTTTGCAATACACTTAATTTCCACAGTCACTTTAATTTAAACACACGCTATAATTCACAACGATTCACGCACTTGACTTAACTCGATTATCTGTTTCTATCTCTTCAATCTGTAATTATTCATGCCGTCACTTCTTTTGCCGGCTTATATCTACAAAAATAGAGGGCGCCTAGAGAAGACTAGAGTTGCCACGACCAGACAAGATCCTTCTAGAATATCATGAAGTATTACTAATGTCACGTGACTTCCGCTGTCCTAACAATATTCATATTTCGCGAATGCTGTTTAAGGTCAATTACTTGTTCTTTTAAAATGTTAATTTCCTGTTGCATATTTTTGTTTTGCAAAACTAGTTCCTGATTTTGTTGCTTAATTTATTTTATATTAGCCATTATTTCTGACATTATTTTTATAAATTCTTCAATTTGGTTTCAACAAAAATCTACTGATGTTTTGAGATCGTTCATTTCACCTTTACACATGTAGATTTTCTGTCTAAATTCTGTTATTTATTTCAGTTTTCATTTTACGAAAGTGTTCAAACATTTTACCATCACAAGTATCATCAGATTGTCCTAAGTTTTTATCTGCTTTACGGTCATCTTGATTGGCTTCAGTACATTCAATACTACGTAACGTTGTTACCTGCACCTGATTTTTCCAAGCCCGTTCCCTTGGCTGTGGTTTCGCTAGATAGTAGAATTTGTTGAATTGGAATTGTATAATCCTGTTTTATATAATTTGGACATTTGTAATTTTTTCTTTTCTTTACTTAATTTTCTATTAATTACTACTTTCACGGCTACACAATAATAATGATAATGTAACTTACATCCACTGAAACATTGTACACAATCGTTTGAATCACTTACCTCTTCTTCATATGTACTACATCACTAACAACATTTCAAGTGTTCTAACTATTATCACGCACTGTTATACTTCTTTAAATGAAGTGGCTAATGTAGAATTCCTTGAAGATATTATATTAATAAATCCACCTGATAGGTTAGAAAACAAGATCATGACTTCTTTTCAGCCATTTAGCTTACAGCTGAACAGACCATAGAAAAGACAACTGTCTTAATTGCAGATATCTATCTACCACTCCCAGCTGTAATGACTTAAAGTTTTACACTGTTGCTGTGCATCTGAGTGTACTAGTCACTCTGACATTGGCTTTTCAGCCTCAGCCTCTGGCTCATCATAGGCAGCTGGAGATGGTCCAACAAAGTCACCTTCTTCCTCTACCAAACAAAAGTAGTAGCTGAAAGCAGTGCCCTCATCATCATTCACAACTTCAACTACTTTACTCTCCTCTTTTTGATCAATTTAATTTATCAAGTACTCATCAGTGGCATACAATTTCAGCTTAAACATGTGTCCCATGAGCTCTTATACGCCATGAGATGCTGAATTTTTGTTTTGAAGTAATTAATGGTTGACCTACAAGACAAAGTCCTACACAACCAGATCTGGGAGGTTTACATGCTTTTGTTTCTACCAGAGCTACAGTCTATTTTCTCACACAAACTGTTTTTTGTTTTTTACTATCTTCTCGCATGTTATATCTAGGCTACCTCCCCAATCTGTGGGAAGTAGAACTCACGAGCATCAAATAATGTGAATCTCAACCACTTCAACCATTCTTGCAGACATTCCAACAAACCCATAGCTGGTGTAGGTTCGTACATGAGATATATTGTGGACATTATATATTTGGAGAACACTGCTTTTCTGCCACATGGTATTATTACGACAGCGGAAGTCAAGTGACGCTGGTAACACGTGATGAGTTTGCCAGACACCCTCTATTTTAATATATAAGCCCGGCAAATAAAGTGGAGATAATAATAGCAGACAGGGAGATATAGAGACAGATAATCGAGTCAAGTCGTAAGTAAAGTGCATGAATCGTTGTGAATTATAGCGTGTGTTTAAGTTAAAGTGACTGTGGAAATTAAGTGTATTGCAAAGTTGTATTGAGAATAAATAAACTAGTTTTATTTAAGAAAGGACTTGTATCTTTGAACTTCGTTGGAAAAAAAATTTACGGGAAATTAACAAACAACCAGAGACGTAACAAATTGGTGTCAGAAGTTGGATCCAAGCATGAGGGACGTGCTCCAATATCAAGTTGGTCCACCAACAGAAAGAGTAGCTGTTGACACTGCTGGTCCTTTGACCCAAACTCGTGCTGGAAACAGGTACATTTGTGTGGTGATGGATTATTTCACCAAGTGGCCTGAGGCATATGCAATACTAAATCAGGAAGCTACAACTGTAGCTTCAGCTATTAGTGATTTCTTCTTCAGATTTGGTACGTCATACGAACTGCATTCTGAT